GGTCCGACCCATAGCGACCCTGTACAGGGTTTCCGAGGGTGTAAATCTTTACGGGAGTAGAAAGCCTCATCTTTCTCCCGCGGAGTGGCTGGTAGTTTCGAACCGCTGACCTTAAGGTTCGCAGCCCGATTCGTAACCACTACGCTACCAGAGCTCCTTAGTACTAGGTTTTTTAATGTAGCTGGAAATGTTTCTTTAATTTCTTTAATCTTCATCAGTAAGTATTTTAAGTCCTCTTCACATTCAGCAAGCAAGGTGGTATCATCTGCATATCACAAGTAGTTAATGAATCTTCCTCCAATCCTGATGCCACATTTTTCTTCATATAACTCAGCTTCTCGGATTATCTGCTCAGCATACAAGTTGAACAAGTATGGTGAAAGAATACAACCTTGTCGCACACCTTTCTTAATTCTAAACCTTATTTCCTTGTTCTCTACTGCTTCTTGGTCTATGTACAAGTTCCTTATTAGCACTATTAATTGTTCCAGAATACTCATACTCTGCAATGTGGTTCATAGCTTGTCACGATTCACACAGTCGAAAGCCTTTGCATAGTCAATAAAGCACAGATAGACTTCTTTCTGGTATTCTCTGCTTTCAGCCAAGATCCATCAGACATCAGCCATGATATCCCTCGTTCCATATCCTCATCTGAATCCTGCTTGAACCGCTGGCAGTTCCCTGTCAATGTACTGTTTAATTATTTTTGCAAAATTTTACTTGCATTCAATATTAATGATATTACCTGATGGCTTCCACATTACATAAGGTCAGCAGTTCAAACCCACCAGCTACTCCATGGGAGAAAGATGAGGCCGTCTGCTCCCATAAAGATTCACAGTCTGGGAAACCCTATATAAGGTCACTATGAGTCAGAACCAACTCCTTAAGAGTGGGTTTTTATAAGATAATAGCCAAGAAAGGGCTTTGTAGTAATAACAGCAAAACATTAATAATAATACCTAATCAAATACTTACTAACTAAATGCCATCCTGTGTACTTATTCATGTACTAATTTAACCATCACAGTAAGTCTGTGGTGGAAACAACAGCATAGAAAATACATATAGTGACAGGGACAGATCTTGCAAACAGTCCCAAATAAAAATAGTTCTTTAAGAAAGAATTTATCATCTAGAACAATACCCTTGATATAAATTAAAAACACATGCACACAAAACAAAGGTAGTCTATAAAATAAAAAACAAAGATACATGGTGAATGCATGTAAAATGTTTGCTTACCAAGGAAGGGATGGGAAATGGAAATAGGGTATAGAGATTAAAACGGGACAAAGAAACACATACACAGATTGTTGTTAAGTGCTGTCGAGTCAGTTCCGACTCACAGTGACCCTGTTTTCAATGAGCAGCTGGTAGCTTTGAACTGCCGACCTTAGCAGTCCAGTGCTGATCCTACAGTGCCACATGAGTTCACATACACACATACACACCTAAATACATGTTGTCAGCTGCCCTTGAGTCAGCACCTGACTCACAGTGACCCCATGCACAATGGCGTGAAACCACTGTGATTTACAGGCTTTCCATTGGCTGACTTTTTGGAAGCAGCAGAAGTAGACCACCAGTCTCAAGTCTTAGTCTGTGCTCTGTTGAAACCTGTTCATCAAAGCAACACACAAGCCTCCAGGGCCAGATAGTGGAGGCACATTTTCCAGGAATTGAATTTGGGTTCCGTACATACAATAAAAAAAGGGGCTTTGCCTGCACTAAGGGGTGTGGTTAACTCAACCCTCCATACTGGAAGTCCAAAATTAAGGAACTATAAACACAGATTCTCTTATTCTCCCCATTTTACAGATGATAAAACTATAGGTTTAAGCAACTGGGTTTGAATTCAGTTCAAACTTGGCCTCTCCAGGCCTTGGAGGTTGGCAAGAGCTATACCCATCTGCTGCTGTTAAGAGCCATCGAGTCAGTTCTGACTCATAGTGACCCTGTATAGGGTTTCTGAGGAGCAGCTTGTAAGTTTGTACTGCTGATCTTGCGGTTAATAATCTAGTGTTTATCCTTCAGCACCACACCAGGAACGAGAGGCTATTTTATACCTAAGAGAAGAGATGTAGGATGGGGTGCCCAATGGAGCCCATGTGCAAGGCAGACACCCCACAAGGCTGCACTTCCCCCCATCACCACCCCCATCACCTCACCATAAGGACTCGTTGTAGCAGGCGGCGATGCAGGATGGCGGCTGCCCGTAGAGTACCGGCTGCAAAGAACACTGCCCGGAGTAGAGTGCAGAGGGAGTTGACACCAGCAATGGTCGCATAAATGGTGAGGTAGAAACTGACGTCTGAGGAGCCATTGGGGGCAGCTTTAAGCAGAGGGAACACTGGGGCACTGGGTGGTGAGGAGGGGGCTGTGGGTAGCCAAAAGAAGGGCCACTCAGGGGTCCCTTCCCCTCCCCACATCCTCTCTCCCCACCCTCCCTGAGACATAGCCCTTGAAACACCAATCTCCCAACCCTCACTCCTGGCCTAGCAACTCTGAGTGCAGCCCCAGCCACTCACTAGAGGCTTCCAGGGGAGAAGAGCAGCAGCTGGGGAGAGAAGAGCCCTGAGGAAATGGGGCCGGTGGGGGCTGCAGCCTCCTGGGAGCTATTCTTAGCTGTCTTCAGTTGTGAGATCCAGTAGGAGAGCCACCAGTCAGCAGCGTTCCGAGTGGCTGGGTGGGGGCAAAAGGCAGAAAGCTCTGTAAGCCTCCTCTTCTTCCTACTACTCCATCTCTGGTTCCCAGTCTCCTTCATATCCCTGGCCCACCCACCACCCTGGGACTCTTCTCCCAGAACTAGGGGCTTGCCTATTGTCCCAGCTGTTGCCCAGGCTTGGTGAGTCTCTGGGCTTTGGAATGATTAGTACAAAGTGATGGTGGGATGGGCACCCAGAGGACATGCTGGAGTGGGGGTAGAGGGCTCCAGAGCATATGCCCACCTTGCATGAGGAGCAGAGAAAAGAGGATAGCTAGGGCCAGGCACCAGCCCACAGCCTTCCAGTATGCTCGGTACACATGGAAGGCCACGGCGCCCTCCTTTTTACTTTCTTCCTGCAGCAGACGGCTAGATGCATTCTCCTCCATGTCCTGCCCCTCCTGTGCTTTTCCTGGGGTCCATACTGACTGGGCTGTGGCTGCAAGAATCAGGGAGAGGATTAAGTTTGCAGGACAACACTTGAAAACCTCAATGCTTCAGGGGGATAAGCAAGGCTGGTAGAAAACCTAACTCCACAGTTTGGTGACAAAAAGTGAGCTCTTCCACACACACACACCCCCACCCCCACCCCTTGGGCCATACCTGAGTCAGATTTCTGTTCCTCCTCAGCCCAGGCTTTGGGGACTGCTTGTACCAGTGGCAGAATCTCAGAGGGAGGTCCTACAAGGTAGAAGAGGAGTTGTTTTTGGCTTACACCCTGCCTTTCTAAATACCTGTGCAGATTAGACCTCCCATTCTCTCTGGATCTTTGCCCCAGCCCACTTTGGCAGGACCCTGAGCAGGATCCCCAGACTTCAATTCAAGTCTATTCCTCTGCATCTGGAGCCCAACCAGCACAGGCAGAAAATGCTTATCCCTGGAAGAAGAGTCACAGACATCTGTGAGCTCCCATCCAGTCACCTCGTATTATTGCTGCTGTTGTGTGCTTTCAAGTTGACCTGGACTCATGGTGGTCCTACAGGATAGAACTGCCCCATGGGGTGCTTCCTAGGCTGTAAATCTTTAAAGGAGCAAATCACCAGGTCTTTTCTCCCAAGGAGCAGCTGGTGAGTTTGAACTGCCAACTTAAGACTCCCTCACCTCTCATTACTGCAGAACTTTCCCTTCATACTTCATAAACTCCTAACACTCTGGTTGAGCTTCATTTCCTATTTCTCTTCCCACGGTCATGCCACTTGGGATGGACTTTAGAGTTTCTTTTTAACAAAAGGACTGTTCTAAGCTTGGCTTTCTCATCTTCATGGTGATCCAAATTCTCAAAGATCTCAGGCTGGTAGAGCACCCAGTCAAAGCCTGCAAGTCCCCTCTCTAGTGACATTTCACCAATGTGCTCCCCCCTCCCCCCCCCTCCCCACATACACACACACACACTCCAGTTCTCTGAAGCTGAAGTGGATTTCTCATGTGTGATAGTTTAGGCTTTGTGTCAACTTGGCTGGGCCAGGATTCTCAGTGATTTAGCAGTTACGATGAAGTAATCCCCTCCATAATGAAATCTAGTATGATATCACTGGCCCCCCACACACTGTGGTCTAACATGATCAGCTCTGATCTGATGTAACTATCCTGTATGTTGTAAATGCTCACTTCTATGATATGCCTTGTCTCTGGTACTTTCTGGGCATGTTATCAGAAGGGACCAATCCCTGGAGAAGGATATCATACTTGATAAAGTGGAGGTTCAGCTAAAAAGAGGAAGACCACCCGAAGAGATGGCTTAGCATGGTGGCAGCAACAATGGGCTCAAACATAACAATTATGAGGCTAGAACAGGCCTGGGAAGTGTTTTGTTCTGTTGTATGTAGGGTTGCTATGAGTCGGCACTGACCTGACGGCACCTAACAACAACAAAATGTTGTTAATGAGATCAGATACAACCCGTACAAGTAGGTGTATCTTGAGTCAATTTCTTTTGAGATATAAAAGAGATTAAACAAGCAGCAGAGTTCAAAGGCGCCTAATACCAAAAGAAACAAAAGCCAGAAGTAGAGTGCATCATTTGGCTCTGAGGTCCCTGTACTATGAAGCTCATAGATGCAGAGGAAGATTGATACTAAGATAAACGGAGCTCTCTAAGGATTTATGGGCCTACAGGTGCTGAAAGGAGACAAACACCTTCCTCCAGAGCTAATTGAGAGCAAGTCTTTCCTTAGAGCCGGCACTCTGAATTTGGATTTCTAGCCTCCTAAATTGTGAGAAAGATGAGGCTTTCTGCTCCCATAAAGATTTACAGCCTCGGAAACCCTATGTAGGGTCGCTACGTGTCAGAACCAACTCCACGGCACATAACAACAACAAATTATGAGAGAATAAATTTTTGTTTGTTAAAAGCATCCACTTGTGGTATTTCTGTTATAGCAGCTCTAGAAAACTAAGACAACCTGATATAGAAGGAGGCAATGACTGGACCCAGACCACATGTGGAGGGGTGGTTGAGTCTGCACTGTCTCTCTTCCCTGCCATTTCTTGCCAGATAACCCATACTCGGCTGGACTCCTTTCCTGGCTGCTCATATTACCAGCCTGGATGAGGCGTCCGGCTTCCATCAGCAGCACCACGTCAGCCTTCTCCAGATACTCAACCCGGTGGGTGCAGAGCAGCCGTGTAGTGTGGCTCAAGACTCCCAGTATGCACCTATGCAGCAAGTGGTTGGCCACATCTGCATCCACAGCAGCCAGAGGGTCATCAAGAAGATAGAGTTCCTTTTCCTAGGGAAAGATGGGGACATCATGGGCACCAAGTCCCAAGTCCTCTGACCAGACCTCAGAAACTGTCTTCAAGGAAGTCAGAGAAAACAGGCTCAAGGATTTCTGGGAGCTACCATTCTTATCAATGGAGAAAAGATTGAAGATGTCAAGGACTTCATTCTTCTTGGATCAACTATCAACACTTGCGGAAGTAGCAGTCAAGAGATCAGACGACGTATTGCACTGGGCAAATCTGCTGCACAGGAACTTTCTAAAGTGTTGAAGAGCAGAGATGTCAGCTTGAGGACTAAGGTGCGCCTGACCCAGGCCATTGTTTTCAATAGCCTCATATGGATGTGAAAGCTGGACAGTGAATAAGGAGGATCGTAGAAGAATTGATGCCTTTGAGTTGTGGTGTTGGAGGAGAATACTGAAAGTGCCATGGACTGCCAAAAGAACCAATAGATCTGTTTTGGAAGAAGTGCAGCCAGAGTGCTCCTTGGAGGCCAGGATGGCTAAGCTTCGTCTCTCCTACTTTGGACATATTGTCCGGAGGAAACAATCGTTGGAGAAGGATGTCATGCTGGGTAGGGTGGAGGGTCAGAGAAAAAGAGGAAGACCCCCAACGAGATGGATCAGCCAGGTGGCGTCATTGATGGACTCAAGTGTGGCAGCGGTAGTGAGGTTGGCCCAGGATAGGACATTGTTTCGTTCTTCTGTGCATGGGGTCGCTATGAGTCGGTTCCGACTCAATGGCACCTGACAACAACAACAACCCTTACAGCAGTAGAGTGGTAGGTTAGACCAGAGGATGAACTTTTCTTTGGCGAAAACCAGTGCCTGATGACTAGTACTCAGCTTTGCTGGGTCCCAGTTCCTCAATGTTTTAATGGGCTTAAAATTCTGCCTTGAATCCACAAGCGGGGAATGGGATGGCCACGGGACCAATGCCTCCAAATCATGAAGGGGGAAGAGAAGAAACTGGACACTGATGAAACATCCCTACCCCCCTCTCTGTCAAGCTCCCAAGGCTCCTGTTTCCCTTTAATTCCCGGCCCATTCCCACACTTAACTTACCTGGTAGACAGCCCGAGCAAGGGCAATCCGGGCCCGCTGTCCCCCGCTGAGGGTCACACCCTTCTCCCCTACCTCTGTCAGGTCTCCTGCAGGCAGGATCTGAGGGAACAGGCCCCCAAAACAGTATTGGTCAGAGAGCAACATCAGTATCTTCTACCCGATTTCCTATCTATGCCTTTGCAGGGAAGACATGGCAGAAGTCCAAACAACCTTGAACTTGAGGAGACTGAACTTGAATTTGGGATGAGTGAGCCACAGGGAACAGGTGATGACTCCAACAACTACTAGCATATACTGAACACTTATTATTGTGCTTGGCACATTCTCTCATTCAACCCTCACAATAACCTCATAAAATTGGTATTATTTCCTTTGCACAACAAGGAGACCAAGGTTGAAACAGTTAAGTTAACAAGACCAAAGGTCTATGGTTAATAAAGGCAGGACGAAGTCCCAGATTCTTAGCTACTCTGCTCCACTTACAACCCTGCCTTTATAACAGGCAAGGATGATGAACAAATTCAATGAGAGCTTTCAAAAGTTTTAAAGGAAGGCTGTACCCTGAGCCTTCCTGTGGCCTCAAGAGTCCCCAAGGGCTCATTTCCAAAGGACCACCTGTGGACCTCTGTGATGGTGGTGAGTCCCGTCCAAGAAAAGCTTTATTACTGATCTCTTTTCTTAGTGCCTAGGACAGTGTCTAATACTCAGCAGGCATTTGGGACATGCTTGATGTAAAGACAAATAATAAATGAACACAGGATGCTCCATGGTCAATTTCAAAGGCCCTCCTTATTTTAGGGCAGTTCAAGTTGATCTGAGCAGGCTGGTGGTGATGATGTGCCATGGAGTCGTTTCCAACTCATAGTGACCCTGTACAGGGTTTCCGAGGTTGTAAATTGTTACGGGAGCAGAAAGCCTCATCTTCCTCCCGCGTAACAGCTGGTCGTTTTGAACTGCTGACCCTGAGGTTAGCAGCCTGGTTCATGGTAGTCCTGGACTGGGGAAGGGGATGGATGGGGAAGTCATGAGAGAAATCTAAAATCTCTTGCCCTTTTAAGTTAGTACTCTGGATGGGAAGAATCCAATGAGCTTCTCAGGCTTCCCTAAGGTAGACCAGGCTCTTCCAAGCCTTCTCTGAGGGTCTCCTGAATTGGAACCAGTAGCTAAATCTATGCATAGAGTGAGGTTTCACTAGTTTCAGAGGCTTCAGAGCTCTTACAACTATTGTGTGGAACATCTAGTCATCACTCCCTCTCTGGGCCTTAGGGGAAGGGGGCACCAAGCAGCTGGACACTCTCAGAGGATGAAAAACTGATGGCTAGTGCTACAGAATGATGCCTGATTTGGAGGAGCCCGTCCCTAGAGAAGCAAGTCTCTGACTTGGGGTGTCAGGGACAGATGGGGAAGCTGGAAGCCAAAGAGGTTTCAGGATTAGGCACTCACGCTGAGGTCATCGTTGAGAGCGCAGGCCTCTAGCACTTTTCTGTACAGCTGGGCGTCAAATGGCTTTCCAAAGAGGATGTTGTCTCGGATGGTGGCAAACTGAATCCAGGGTTCCTGGGTGGCCAGACCAAAGCCCTTGGACATCCCTGACACTGCCACCTGCCCACATAGCCTGCAGAGAGTCAGGCCAACAACATGAGGGTAAGCTCCCCACTGGGTCTCTCTACTCCCAGCCCCGCCTCCAGGATGCCTCTCTAGACTTGTGCCTTCCACATGTGCCTTCTACAGCTTGCCATCAAGTTGTATGTAGAGTAGAATTGCTCCACAGGGTTTAAAGGTTGTAACTGTTTGGAAGCAGATTGTCAGATGTCTTCAGAGGAGCCTCTGGGTGGGTTTGAACTGTCAACCCTTCAGCTAGAAGCTGGAACACTCAACTGTTTGCATAAAGCTCCCTTTTACATTACATGGCTTTCTGATTTAGAAGCAGTGAGGTTGAGGGCAACTGAGTGAAGCTCATTCTAGAATAGGATGCAATGACACTGATTTTTGGCTATCATGGGGTCCCTAAACCAAACAGCTGTCATATCTGGGAAGATAGCTCAGTGGCTCAGAAGACAGGGTAGTTCCCACACAGTACGCATTTTGACATTAAGACAAGAAGGCTCTTCTCAAACCTATAGTTCGCTCTGGATCCCTTTCTATTACAACCCCATTTTCTGAAAACGTAGTTGATGTTGGATGCTCCCATTTCTTTTCTTTGCTCACTACTATACAAGTGGGCTTCAAAAACGGAAAGATTAGGGAATTTTTTTCACGAACTTTTTGAAGCCCTCTCATAGTACTTACAACACTTGGGTGTAATGATTGTGATGATTCTGTTTTGCCTATTTCTCCATTACTGGATTGAAAATTCTTCTAAGAAAGGGACCATGTCTGGTTTGTCTTGGTTCCCTTGGCCCCTAAAAAGGTGCCTGCCACATAGCAGGAGCTCAGTAGATGTTTTCTAAATGGCCAAGGACGAGGGTGCACTGGGGACTGATTACCTGTGGAGCTCCCCAGCGATGGCTGCCAGCAGTGAGCTCTTCCCACTGCCCACCTTCCCCACGATGCCCACCAGGAAACCCTGCAAGGAAGCAACATATGTAAGTGTCCACTGCTCACAGGGAGAAAGACAGAGTGGGCAACCATCTCCCTCTGGAAGGTTTGGGCAGCCAATCATAGTGTTGAGATTTCTTATCTCTCGATCCCAGTTAATCTGTAGGGAAAGAATTCTCCACCCAGTTGGCTGAGCTGTGTCTCTGGGACTGCTGGATCTAGAGAAGTGGGGTATTTTAGTCCCCACTCAGAGTAGCTGTTTCCACATGTGTGAAGGGTCTCTGAAGGGGAGAAGCATGGCAGAGAGATGGGGAGGACAACTGCCCAAGGATTTCCAAGGCAAGCTCAGGACAGATATCCCAGAACAGATAGACAGGAATGGGGAGGGAAGAATTCCAGACTTTGGAACCCAGATGCTGGGTTTGCAAAGTCTGCCTGCGGCCAGATTTCCATCACGGCAAAAAGCTGAGCTTTGTGCAGGTGCAGATTTGTGACTTATAAAACGTTGTTTTCCAATAATTTCCTTAGTTGTAACATATGAGAGGGGCTTCAAAAAAGTTCGTGGGAAAATTCCATTATCCTTTAATTCAATTTTTCCATGAACTTTTTGAAAGCCCCCTTGTATATTCATGGAGATATCTCCCAGCTCAAGAAAAAGAATTTTTTTTTCCTTCTCTGAAATCTGGGGTGGGAGACCCAGAACTATCGTCTGTGATGCCCCACCCTGCCAGTCAGGGCTGACCTGTCTGTGACTGGGTGCCAGATCAATTTGAGACCCCCTTTCCCAAGAATCTATCTGGGATTCTGCCCAGGAGGCAGTTTCTCGCCTCTTGGCTGCAGCTTGTAAGTGGGAGGGCTCCCTGCAGTCACATCTGCTCAGTAGAGAGTGAGTCCACAGAGAGGCGCAAATGAGGCAAATCCAGAGAGAGAGGCAAATGGAAGGCAGAGAACTGTGCGAGTTGAAGCCACGTTCTGGGTCATTTCTGGAATCTGGCTGCACTCTGATCTTTGGGTTCTATAATTCATCTCTATATTCTTATAAATTCTTGTTTGCTGAAGCTAGCTCTAGTGGGTTTCTATGGCTTATGTCCAAAAGAGTCCCAACTAACAAATGAGTAAAATTCCTTTGAAAAAATTCTAGCCTTGTCTTGCCTGAACTAAGAGGGAAAACAAAAAGATAGACAGCCCTAGCCAGAAATGTGAGCCAAATGTGGTGGAGGCAGTTTAGTTGACACTAGAGAAAGCTGGGTTGAGCTATGGGGCAAGGGGTTGGGGAGAGGTCAGGAGAGAGTGAAAACTTAGACTGGGGGTACACAGGAGACGCAGCCCTGACAGGAATGCTTCCTTCAAGTTCTGCTTTGACTGTGCTGAGATGTGAGTCACAGGGTGTGATTCCTTTTCACTGGACTAAACAGAGGATCCGGCTCACCTGCAAAATCTGTTTTGGAAGGGAACGCTGGGTCCCTAGCCTGGGGCAATGCTGGAGATGCCCTAGGGTTAGTTCTGAATGCTGTAGCCTATGAGGGACAAGGAGAGACATGTTGGTCTGGACTGGATGGATGTCTAAAGGCCAGAGAGAGATGTGACTACTCTGAAAAAACTGTGTGGAGAAGGCGATTCAGAGATGAGGAACCATCTCTTTTGAGATTAGAGAGCCTGCCCACCAGAACTCCTTCAGTGCTTCCAAAAACCATTAGATTTGCAAGGTCATCAGCTATGATCAACTCAATCCTTTTTAGCTGCTACTGATCCCCATCTCCTCAGTCAGTCAGGGGACTCTCCCAGGGTAATCTCATCACGAACCTTCTTCACTTCAAGGTGACTGATGAAGGTCTCCTGGCTGCTTCCAACTGGGTCCCACGAGAACAGGGCTCCATGCAGCTCCAATACTGTAGATGGTTCTGTGGGGAGGTCTGAACGAGGAAGAGACCATTCAACTTGGGTTCTTAACCCACTTACCTGTTTGTACATGTCATCGGTTCATTTGCTCCTTATCTACCTGCTCAGAGTGAATTCATTCTTAGTTTTGGTATGAAAGACACTACCCATCCTCAACCCCACCGCAAGAGCTAGTCGCTTGCTTTGCATGGATTCTGCTGCTTCTGGCACATCTTGGTAGTATATATGTGTAGTGTGCCCCCTCCTTATTCTGTGTCAGGTCCTGTCTTCTAGCTTCCCATTACCTGGGTTGTAGTAAGCCTGAGGGTTGTGGTTTGGAAGGTCAAGGAAACGCTGGATCCGATCCAAGGACACACTGGCCTCCAGAAGTCCATTGATCACCCACGGGAAGTTGTTGAGGGGAAGGACAAGCATGCGCACCAGTGCCAGGGCTGTGAATACCTAAGCAGGGTGGAAGGGGGTAGGGACAGGGGGTTATAAGAGAGCCTGCTCTATGGATATCCCCAAGGAAAAGTCTGTTGAGGGAAGACGAAGGCAGTGGCAGAACTGAGGGCATAGCAGGTCAACCCTTGGATTAGAGGGGGCAAAGGTGGCTATTCCAAGAAACCTAGACATTTCAGATCTGTTACTCTAGGAATCCAAGTTGCAGCTTGATGAGATCACAGTCGAGTTCATTTTGAGACCTCTTCAGAATTTTTAAGCAGCAATATCATCTAGTCTTGGCCAGACACAGCACTGGATCATGGATTCCTCCCCTCCCCCTCAAAGCCATCAGAAGGAAGATAAGAGCATCTAACTCTAATACTAGTGTGGTGCTGTGGGTTAATGTGCTAGACTGCAAGTTCAGTTTGAACAACAAGATCAGATGTTTAAGCTCACCAACTGCTCTGTGGAAATGCTATACCCTGGTTGCTATGAGTCAGAATCGACTCGACAACACTTAACAACAACCCCAAACTTGAGTCGGACTGGAAATTGGAAAGGGAAGATGAATTCCTTCAGAGGGGAGCTTATGTATGAATATCCAACGTCCCAGAGAAAAAGACCCCTTTAGAGAATCGCCTTTCAGTTGGAAAAGAATGAAGCAGCAGCATTAGATGCCCGAGTCCACTTCTCCACTCCATAGCAGTATCTCCCCTCCCTTGCAAACTTGTCCTCACCTTGGTGGCAGTGAGCTGGTGTCCCAGGAGGACATAGGTGATGAAGACGACGATGGAGATGACAACAGGCAGAGCAGCCCACAGGTACACACAGGCTGCATCCAGGTATTTGATGACCTGCAGTCGCCCCAGCTCTCGAGTCCGGCAGGCCTCTACTCGGGTCCCCAGTGCCTGCTCCCACCCACAGAACTTGATGACCCGCATGCCACTCAGTAGCTCTGTCATAAGCTAGGGAGAGAGGACAAGGAGCAACGTGAAGTAGAGACATACTGCTCAGGCATCTTCTCCTCTGTCATGTCTTCCCAGGCTTCCGACAGAATGTTGACTACTCTAAGCTTCTAGATACTCTGTATTCTCCTAACCCTATTTATTTTTTTTATCTTGTTTCAATCCTTTCTGGAAATTCTACTCCTCGAACCCTTCTTCTGAGACCCTGGGGTGTTTCCTTTCGTTACCCCACCATATGCCTCCTGGTGTGGCACTGTAGGATAGGCATTGGACTTCGAACCAAAAGGTCAGCAGTTCAAATCCACCAGCTGTTCCTATACAGGGTTGCTATGAGTTGGAACCAACTCAATGACACTTAACAAATGCACCTCTTGGGGACAAGTTGGTCAGGAGGACCCACCCATTAGTGCTCTAAGTTGTTCCTGTAAAAGGTTGACAATAGTGCTATACAGACCCCTCAGGACTGCCCTCCCCAGTAAAGGTACCCAATCACTGGAGAACCTGAAACAGATTCGGTGAGACCCTTAGTGTCTAGTTAGCCCAGGCAGGAAAGCAACCCACTCCCTTCTCTATAGCCCACCTCCAAGAGGTAGCTGGGTTCCCCTGGACTCTCCACACAGTCATAAGGCAGGGGGGTCAATGCCTTTGACAAAGAGATAGGAGACTTGGGTCCTGGTTCGATCACTAAAAGCCATCTAGTCCCAGAGAGATTATTTCCAATCTCCTAGGGTTACTGTTTAGATCCACATGAGCTAATACTATAATAATTTGTTAATGGAACACATTTATTTAGCACTTAATTTGTGACATGCACTGTGCTAAGCATTATCTCAAGTGAAATTTACAACAATCGAATGAAGCAAGCTATTATTATACTCCCGGAGAAGTTAATGATTAGTCTGAGGGACTGAACTAGTAAGTGGTAAGACCAGCATTTGAACCCAGATCTGTCATTCTCTAGTCTGAGCTCTTAACTTCTATATTGTGCTCACCTTTTCAGGCAGTATACATGGGAGGACCCCAAGGACTGGGATGCTAGAAGGGGTCTTCAGCTTGTTAGGGAATCCCCAGCAATGTCTCACCTTGACCCGAGCATCTTTGTGCTGTAGCATCACTTGGTTGCTGGCCATGATGCGTGTGGCAATCACCTTGTTGACAGGTACCAGCAGCAGTGCCAGGACCAGACCACCCACAAAGGCTATGCCCACCTGCACGTACAGTAGGTAGAGGGTAATGGCCAGCTGCAGAGGTAGGCCCCAGGCCTCATGGAAGCTCCCAGCAAAGTTGAGTAGCCGTTCAGAGTCTGTGCCCAATAGGTTAAGGGCCTCACCAGCAGGAGGGCGGCTGGGCCCTAATTGTAAAGCCTTTCGGTATAGGGTGTCCAGCACAGCCCCCCGTGCCTGGAGGGTCACCTTCCGTACTTCATACCCATATTGGTTCTGCAGCACAGCACCAACCACAGCCCCGCTGGACAGCCCCAGGGCATAGAACAGACCTTGACTTAGGGGTTCCTGCTTGTCCTCTAGGAAGCCCACCAGTAGGGACAACAGCAGGGGACCTGAGAAGCCCAACATAGTTGCCACCAGTTTCAGCAGTCCAAGCACCAAGTAGCGTTGCCCAAAGGCCCTGTAAAGGGCTCTCCACAGTCGGGCTCCCTCATGCCAGTGTGCCTGGAAGATCCGGGCCAGATAGGTGGGATGCAGCCTGTGGGGGAGGCGGCAAGTGTCCTGGGGCTGCTGGAGCTCTCCACGGGCCCCACGGGCCAGCAGGGGTGCCAGCCAGGCATAGGAAAAGCGTGACAGCCAACTCTCGCCATCTTCAGCCACCTCAGGTTCCTGCCTCTCGGGCAGGAGGGGCTCTTGGGGCCAGGGTTCCCGCTGTACCCCAGGGGCTGCCCAGCCCAGTCCATAGGCTAAGAGTGCAGCCAGTTGCAGGACGAGAAAGCATAGGCGGGCAAGGGGCCCTGGGAGAAGTGGGGGATAAAGTGTGCCTCGTTGGCAGTGCCATAGCAGGGTCAGCACCAGGGCTGGGGCTGGTAGGAAGGCAGCCAGAGCCAAGACCAAGGGACCCCGGGAGTGGCCGTGAAGGGAACGGGCCCATGCCCGAAGGGCCAAGCTGTGACTGATCCAGGCTACAGCTGCCACACCCGCTGCTAACACCTCTAGCTCTATGGGCCCTGGTCCTGCCCCTGGTGGCAGGGCAGCTGGAAGGAGGTCTAGCAGAGGGAAAATAGAAAGCAGGAAGGACGTTGTGAGTCGGAGACGCCAGCCTGGGCTGCAGGGTAGGATGTAATCTGGACTCCTGGGGATGAAGGGAAAGAGAAAAGGAGGCACATTGTGGCTGACTCAGGGCCCAGGCCTAGGCCTCACCTCTTGTTTATCTAGAGGGAATCAACTTTTTTTCCAATCTTGCACACCTTATCCCTACCCCACATTACCCTAGAGCCCAGGGCCTTTTCTCCCAGGAAGTCTTCTCAGATTAGCTAAACATATGATCTAATAAACCATTTAATTTATTCTTTTACTACAGGTACTAAAATTTTTTGAGCTAAGGGTATATCTAATATGAAAACTCTAAAACAAAACCCTAAATTTTCATACAGATAATCACTGTTGTTGTTAAATGCCGTGGAGATGGTTCCAATCCATATCAACTCAGTATAGGGTTTCCATGGAACGGCTGGAAAACTTGGACTGCAGACCTCATGGATCAAACCGACTTGGCAGTCCAGCGCATTAACCCACAATGCCACACCAGGACCCTATTAGCATATGATTATTTATTTAAAAAATACATTTATCCACCTAAGGTAATCCTTGAATTTATCTGAAGCACTATTAGATAGATAAAATGTGATTTGCATATATCGTTCAACCTAAATTTTATGAAGCTTAGAATATTCTACCCTGTCTCTACAATGATGGTAGAGGATTGTGTGAATCATCCTTCTAACTTCTTCACCTGAAGAACTCTTTTCTTCAGCTTTATCTGTATCTTTTTGGCATGCAAAATTGAATAAATAAAAAAAGGCAATTCATTTGCATCTAAGAACCTTGTGCAAGAAAACAACCTCAGCAGTGAATACTAGAACGCTATTGAAGGTCTGTTGTAACTTTTGTTGGCAAGGCTGAGTTACTGAAAAAGTTGTCACAGACTAAAATGCTTTGGTCCAGCTGATGACAGTTTTATGGAGGAGTTGGTTAGAATCAAATCTGACCTTTAATGATTTACTTTCCTTAAATGTGGGGATAGTAGGAAATTGGGCCCTTTGGGGCAGGTATGCTGGCCCCAAGTTAGCCACCAACACATTTCAAGACCTTGGGCAAGTTTCCTTCTCACTCTATATCTCATTATTCCCATCAGTACAGTGAGGAGCGTGGGTTCAAAGCCTTCTGGGGTCCTTTCCAGTCTGAGGGCCCAGGTCTCTCTCTTTTTACAGACACACAAAAGCCTGATAGTGAAGTGAGATACACAACATCTTTTATTTACATGTTGGTCTCTCTTGCCTTATTACAAGACTGCAAGTTTCTGAAGGACTGGGTGTCCATAGATAGATATTCTCCTGAGCAGGCTGTGGATGTCTGTGCTGACTAACCCTCTCTGGACTTCTGGGTAATAAACAAATCAAGATTCCCTTCAGACCAAGAAGATTGACAGCATTTCTTAAAAGGAATCTATAAGTCCTTAATTCTTCTTGATAAAGATATTCCACCCCACCCTACCCACATCAGACTGGGAGGCCTCAGACTAGGAGGCGCCAAAGATAGAGACTACTTTCCCCTCCTACCTTTTTATCAATTAGAATGAGACTAATTTTAGCCAATTCTAGCCAGAGAGGACTAAATACAAAATTAAGGTAAGTTTAGCCCTCACATCTTATAGCTGGAACTAGGGAAGATTTAAGTTTTTTAATTTTCAGCTTTTCTTTCTTCACTGAGTCTACATTAGCTTTTCTTAGCCTAAGTGCACTGAGATTCATGGAAGAAGTGGTAAGAAACTGAACCTACAACCTAAATACAAGTCATTTTTTTGGTTAAAAACATTTTCCCACCCAATTTTAACTCCAATTCATGGCAAGTGTTCTTGGGCATCTGAAAATCTGTAATACTAATGTGTCTACCACGCAAAGAGCCTTTAAAGATGTGCCAGACACATTTTAAAATGTGTTATATGCTCCAAGGCATGATCTAATTAATACAAATCTCTCAACAATGCTAAGAGGCTCAGAGAAAGTAAGTAACTTGTCCAAGAACAGCCACACACTTGGCAAGATTTTATTCTATTTTTTCCCGACCCCAGAGATATTCCTATTCTGTTGACACTGGCAGTGAGATGTAGGTTGTGGGTGAGTCCTACATGCACAGCTGGACAAATGTCTTGTGCTCATCTCTACCCACCTCGGAGTGCCCAGGTAGCAGGCGCTGAGCACGGCGAGGAGTGCGTGGGGCAGGGCGCTGAGTACCAGCTGGGTGAAGCAGTGGCCCGTGGTGCCCCCCTCCCACAGCGGGAGCGGCAGCGCGGAACTGGTACCGCATAGCTGGGCCAGGAGACGTTCCATGGAAGCCTCACCTGCGGGGAAGGCCATCAGTTGGGATGGGGGTGGTGGTGAAGAGGTACCAAAAGGAAGGAGAACCCGGGTCCCCAAGGTAAGGTCCAGGTAGGGAGCTGGATGAGATGCAGACCAGGAACGAGGGAGGCCGTGCGCCGCAACAGAGAACCCAGCCAGTCTACTCGCTTCCAACCCCGCCCTCGGGCAGGGACCTCCCCTAGCTTCCGTTCCGAAGCCAGACCCCGTCAGTTCTCGCGGTACCTCAAGGGGTAGAAAAAAATGGAAATTTCTCTTCTCAGAGATGGAGAATTTCTGGCCGCTGATTACCCACCCAACCGTCCCAATTTCACCACTCCCTTGGACCGGAACCTCTAACCTGAAGCGGTTGCTTTCCACCGGAACCTGAAATCCAAAGCACTGATGGATACAAACGCAACGTGCAGCCGGATCCGGGTCTGGCCAGACTTGCTTGGCGCCCCCTAAAGGCGGGAAGACCTCTCAAAAGAAGCTGTTCGCCCCTCCCATACGCAGGGTCTCTGCGCGCTTGTGCGCCGCTCACGGCATCGGATGCCCTGTCTTTCTGGCACACCACCGCTGTATGTAGCACCTTTGTATGGAGAACGTTTACGCCATCCCACTTGCCTGGTGTTTGATCAAGTGGGACATCACTCACACACTGCCACCATGTACAATACACGCTCCTATCTCTCATGTGCCTTGCACTCTCATTCTTAACACAAAGTTAACGGAGGTGGGAGGCCAAACAAGCGTGCCATGCAGAAGAATAATGACATTTAGGAACACTTAGAAACCATTACTTTCCTTACCCCAAGGCTGTATTTAATCTTGGGCAAGCTGCGTAACTTCTCTGAGCTTCAGTTTTCTTAATTGTTAAAAGGGGCAATGATAACCAACACCATAGAACTGTTAGGAGTCCTTGTGTGGCACTGTAGGGTAAGCACTGGACTGTTAGCCATAAGGTTAGCGGCTTAAATCCACCAACCACTCCTGGAAGCCCTAGTAGGGTTGCTATGAGTCGGAACTGACTGGACAGCACTTAACAACAACAACAACACAGTACTCTTGAGAGGATTAAATGAGATAATATAAGCTGCTTAGGGCAAGTGTCTTGCTAGAGTTGTTAGGTGCCGTTGTTAAGTGCCGTTGAGTGGGTTCTTACTCATAGGACCCTGTATAGGATTTCTGAGGAGTGGCTGGTGGGTTTGAACCGCCAATCTTGTGGTTCACAGTCTCCCCATAAATAGACCTTTTAAAAACCACAAGCTTTATAGAATCTCAGGTAGTGTACTAGTTAAGCGCTTGGCTGATAATTAAAGGGTTTCAAACTCACCAGGAGTTCCGACCAGGAGTTCTGAGTGAGAGGGATGTGTTGTTGTGTCCTGTCTAGTTGGTTCTGACTCATAGCGAATCCTATGTAGGATTCTGAGGTTGTAAATGTTCATGGGAGCGGAAAGCCTCGTTTTTTTCCACAGAGCAGCTGGTGGATTCGAACTACTACTGGCTTTGTATTTAGCAGCCCAACGCACAACTCACTATGGCACCAGGGGGTTCATTGTTGTTATTAAGTACCGGCGAATCAGATCAGATTCTTAGCGGCCCTGTGTAGGGTTTCTGAGAAGCCACTGGTGGGATTGAAATGCCAACTTTGAGGTTCAAAATCCAATGTTGATCCTACACCAAGACACCACCATGTTCTTATATAGGTTTCAAAATTCAAATTTAATTACTTAATTTTCCTAAGATCACAAGCACGGCACTTAACAACAACAAGATCACAAGCATATTATAACTGCCCCCCACCCCCCATGTACACATTTCATGATACAATGATCTTCACAATACTGCTAATTGTTATGAGGAAGATTATAGCTGAGAAAGAGGTTGTTGTAGTCAGTAAACAACTAAGGGACAGTTCTATGAGAAGGCTTCAATAAGTTCACGAGAAAATAGAATTTTTTCATGAATTTTTTGAAGCCCCTTTGTATTCTGTCTTACAGGGCACTAGGAGCCAACAGGTTGTAAATTTTGTGGTTAGATGGACCTGGGTTAGAATCCATATCCAACCAATTTAGAGCAATATAGTAGATCTTAGGCAAGTTACTTTCTGCATTTTTGTTTTCTGTTTATCAAGCAAAATATGGTGCCAACGACACACCAGCTTGTACAGTGCCCCAGCGAAAGTAGAAGGTGGTGTGGCACTGTGGGTTAATGCGCTGGATTGCAAGGTCAGCTTGAACCTCAAGGTTGATGGTTTAAGCTCACCAACCCCTCCTAGGAAACCCTATACAGGGTCACTATGAAGTTGGAACCAACTTAACAGCACTTAACAACAACAATTCACCAGTGTGTACAGTGCCCCAGCGAAAGTAGGAGCTCAGCAAATAACAACCGTGAATACTGATTCCATATCAGTGTTTAACCTGCTGTCTTTCAAAAACAGGAACTAATATCCCTATTATTAAAAATTAAGAAGTAGAGGTTTGCATTTTGCAACCCTACTGATAAATGGGTCATTTGGCTATGGACATTAAAGGCTGCAAAAGAGAGTGAATCAGACACTGCATGAATCATAATGAGAAATATCCTTGTCAAAAACATCAAACCTAAACTGACAAAACCACTGGATCTAATAGACTAAACTTGCAAGAAATATAGGAGACGCAAGAATATATTAAACAATATATCAAGGATGACTGTGAAAAACTGTATAAAATATACCACCCAGTTTCTTAAAAAAAAATTGCTAGGGACAAAAAGATGGAGAAGAAAACCTATAAATTAAAAGAAACATAAGACTTGGCAACTGATTGTAATGTATGAACTTAATTTGGGTTTTTGACAAAATCATTTTTTTTTAAATGGTAAGACGATTGGATATTATAATGTTATCTGGATATTGGATAATTTTAAGAATTAATATTAACTTTAAAAAGTGATAACAACATTGTGGCTGTTTATTTTTCAAATCTTTAACCTTATGGCTACTGAAATGCTTATGGATGAACTAGTATAATGTCAGGGAATGTCTTCAAAATCCTATGAGATTGGAGGGAGTGGGATGAAGCTGTAGTTAAAACAAGAATGGCCTGAGTCAATAATTGTTGAAGTTGGGTGGTGGGTATACAGATGTACATTGTATTTTTTCTCTCTAGTTTTGTATATATTTGAAATTTTATCATGATAAAGTTATTTAAAATGGAGATTTGAGTCGTTTGGGGCAGTGCTTCTCAAAGAGTGGTACAACTTTCATTAGAATCACCTGGGCTGCTTATTAAAACGCGTATTCCAGAGTCCACTCCACATCTGCTGAACATGCCTCTCCAGGGGAGGAGTCTATGATCTGCCTCAGGTGATCCTTACATTCAGGTTTAAATCCACAGTTGGTCAGGTCCTTGTCCAGGATGGCAGTACTGCTATGCATTGCAGCCCACACTCTGGACCAGGAACTGCAATAGCCAAATCAGCACCCCTAATTCAGGGCCTCAAAGCTCAATATCTGATTCCAGAAACTCTCTGAAGACTTTGCATTTGAGCTAAAATACATTACTTTACTTTAATAACCTTTTTGGTTATAAAATCAATTATTTTGTAGACAATTTAGGAATACAGAAAATTACAAGGAACATGTTTAATTTTATGGTGGCATATTTAGCCAACTGCTGAATTTCAAGGGAGAATCAGCTGGGGGTGCAGTAACTGGGGAGCCAGCGGCACTTTCTGACTGCTTTCACCACCTATCCCTATGGTGACCTCTGCACCTACCTTTCTCCTTGGCATTGATTACAGGAATTATTGATGAATCTAGAATCATTCTTCTCACTAAAACTTGGAAAAGTATCCTCTTACTAACAGACACAATTGCACACACATTGTCTGTAGACACACAGATGTGCCCCTGATGTAAACTCACTAAGTTTTATAAGTGACTACCCCATATCTGGAGTCCTAGTGTGGCGCTGTGGATTAATGTGCTGGACTGCAAAGTCATTTGAATCGCAAGGTGAGTGGTTCAAACTCACCAGTCGCTCCTTGGAAAGCTTATACAGGGTCGCTATGGGTCGGGATCCACTCGATGGCACTCAACAACTCCATGTCCATATACTTTTTTTGGTTTAGCATACATGCTAACAGCATTTTTTTACCCCCCTCCACACTAAACTTTATCACTGTTGTTGTGTGCTGCCAAGTCAATTCTAACCTTTCAAGACCTTGTAGGACAAAGTAGAACAGCCCCATAAGGTTTCCTAGGCCGGAAGCAAGGCCTTTTTTCCCTGTGCTGACACACCAGTCTCCAAATGCTGACATTTTAGTTAGCAAGTGGGCACTTAATCATTGCTTTACCATGACTGTTTGTTTAATTCTTACCCATTG